TCCTCCTCCTCCTCCTCCTCTTCCTCTTCCTTCTTTTTCTCCTTCAGCACCACCTCCAACTCCTCGTTCAACACTAGCACAATCTTTTTAACCACCTTCACATTCACCTCTTCCCTCGCTCTTTCCTCCTTCTCCACCACCTTCTCCTCCTCCTCCTCCTCCTCCTCCTTCTCCTTCTCCTCTTCTTTCACCACCTCTTCTTCCTTTTTTTTCTCTTCCTCCTTTTCCTCCTCCACCACCACCCCGCCCAATGTTTCGAGCCAACTTTTGACACCGGCAAAGAACATGCCGAATCCTCTTTTGTCTCCTCACTTTTGTCCCGTTCCACTTTCTCTATTTAACACTTTAGATATTAAATTTTCTTCCCTTTTCTTTTCTTTTATCCTTCGTTGTTCTTCCTTCCTTCCTTCCTTCCTTCCTTCCTTCCTTTCTTTCTTTCTTTCTTTCTTTTTCTTTTTTCTTCCTATTTTTTTTCTTTTTTCTTTTTTTTTTGTTAAATCTTTAAAACACGTCCTTCAACGCACACCGCATTATATTTCAACAATTTAATCGTTTTCACTTGGTTGATCCTTTTTTCGATCTCCATCTAATTCGCTAATTTCACTCCTTTTCTTAATTTATTTACCATCATAAATATTTTTATCCTCTTATTTTAATTACTCTTCGATTATCAAAAACTCTTGAAATGACTATTTACTAATTTTTACTATTATTATTAAAACAACAATAAGAATTTTACTTATGACATTTTACTTATGATATTCACTATGTCATTCGTAATGAATTAAATTCGATGGACTTCTATTATAAATGAAACTTTTATTATCGTATTTAATTATCGTCATTCCCTTTGTGCGAAACGGCAAAAGAAAATAGAAATAAATAGTGGGAGCTATCGGGAAAAATGAAAAGAAGAAAGAAAGAATGAAAAAAGAAAAGAAAGAAAAGAAAAAGAGAGAGGGAGAAAAAGGGAAAAAAAAATGGGTGATCATTCTCTCAAAGACCAATTCGGGGATGATTGGAAAGGTCAAAGCAAAACCTATATATATATAAATAACGTGGTATATAATATAAACAGATGTATTCTCGTAAGTGTAGAGAATTTAACAACTCGCATATATACGTTTCTCTTACGCCCTTCGGCTTTTCATCAATAAAAACGCGTCACCGATCGTTCGAGCTTTTTCCCAGTTTCTATGTATGATGTACATATGCGTATGCATGTATGTATATATGCATTTGTGTGTGTTATGTCCTTTGTCATGTGCATTTACCGAACGTGCCTTTTACAAACGCACAACACTCTCTCTCTCTCTCTCTTTCTCTCTTTTTTTTATCGTCCTTTTCCCTTTATACTACAAAAACTTTTTACGCACTCCTATATATATATATTTTTTTTATATATATATATATATACATATACTTTGTTGTGTACACACTATGTCTATCTACCTACCTATCTATCTATCTGTCTGTCTGTTTATCGGTCTGTCTGTTTATCAGTCCGTCAGTCCGTCTGTTTGTCTGTCTGTCTGTCTGTCTGTCTGTCTGTCTGTCTGTCTGTCTATCTATCTATCTATCTCTTTCTCGTTCTATTCGCTGCTGCTTAAATACGCGCGAAACGCGCATTAATACTTAAAGAAGCGAGCGTATCAATGCGCCGCGCGTATCAAACGTTATTACTACGCGTCGATTATTCTTTTTTTTCTTTCCCCTTTCTCCCGATTCTATCACCCGTTAGAGGCGCGTCAAAAAAAAAAAAAAAGAAAAAGAAAAAAAGGAAAAAAAAGACGTCGTCCAATCAGATATAAGAGATATACAAATATTGTCTGTTCGTTTTCCTCGAAATCCCTTTCCCACTACTTCTTTCCACTTTGTAATATCGTCGAGAAAACGATATGTGATTCGTTAAAAAGTCGAAAAAGAAAAAAAAAATTACAATAGATATTAAAGAAATGCGTAAATAATGAGAACGATATTAACGTTGGGAAAAAGCAAACAAATAACTAGGTTTCGTTCTATTTACTGGTCTTGTAAGAGAAGAAAAAAGAAGAAAAGAGAAGAGAAAGAAAAAAGAGAGAGGGAGAGAGAGAGAGAGAAAAAAAGAGAGAGAGAGAAAAAGAGAGAGAGAAAGAGAGAGAAAAAGAGAGAGAGAAAGAGAGAGAGAGAGAAAAAAAGAAAGAGAGAAGAGAGAGAAAAAGAAAGAGAGAAGAGAGAGAAAAAAGAGAGAGAGAGAGAGAGAGAGAGAGAGAGAGAGAGAGAGAGAGAGAGAGAGAGAGAGAGTGAAAAAGAAAAAGGTTAAGTATTACGATTGCAACCGGTATTCACGAACATCATGATAGACGATGAAAACCTTTGGCGGGCTGGATGAGAGATGAGGGTGGGGGGATGGAAATAGATAGGTAAGTAAATATGTAGGTAGATAGTTAGGTAGATAGATAGGTAGGGAAAAAGAGTCGCAGCTTTCTCTATGGATTTGATTGAGGATTTGATTGAGGATTTGAGTGAACCACGCTTTCGTATACGAGAGAGAGAGAGAGAGAGAGAGAGAGAGAGAAAGAGAGAGAAAGGAAGGGAAAAAAAATGACGGAGATGTAAAGATAAAAAATAAAAGATACAAACGAAAAAAAGAAAAAAGAAAAAAAAAGACTCGAGTGCGTATGATTGATGTGTATATATATATATGTTTTCTTTTTTTTTTTTTTTCTTTTTTTTTTTTTATATTCACACTCTCATCTTTCTCGCTGGTCGATCGTTTTTAATGAAAAAAGAAACGAAGAAAAAAATGTGATATTAATTTATCGTGATATAATCGTGATTACCTGACTAAGTTAGAAAGCGACACGAGAGACGATAGAAGAAGAACGAGAGACACACAAATGTTATGTTTATATAGTAATACCATACGGGTTCTGATCCCTCTCTTTCTTTCTCTGACACACCACACACACACACACACTCTCTCTCTCTCTCTCTCTCTCTCTCGTTCTTTCTTCATTCACTCGGTCAATTCCAGTTTTTTTTCTTTTTTATCTTTTCTTTTTCTTTTTTTACTTTGTAGAGTGTATCGTCGTTTAAAAAAAACACGACGTTTTCGTTCTCGTTCTCGTTTAGACGAATAAGAAGGGACGACGGAGTTGATCGTCGTCGTTTCGAAGGGACGATACCGATCGATACGCAACAGCCGTAGAACATTTCTCCGACAGCATCATCGTCCACCTCTTCGTCGATCGTTGTACATACATAAATACATACGTACGTAGGTATATACGTACGTATCTACCTATATAAATGGATATAAGTATTTTTGTCGTTGTTGTGTCGTTATCGTCGTTATCGTCGTCGTCGTCGTCGTTGTCGTCGTTGTCGTCGTTGTCGTCGTCGTCGTCGTAATCTAGATCGTCGTCGTCGTCGAACCGAAGCACCGCTCGGAATATGAAAACGTTCGATGCGTTTCCGTTTACGCGGAATCTTTTCTCTCTCTCTTTCCCTCTCTCTCTCTATCTCTCTTTATCTATCTATCTATCTATCTATCTATCAGAGAGATTATCGTTTAACACTAAAAGATTCATTTAAGTTCTTACATCGTTTACAAATCGCCGTCACCGATCATCATTCCGTATCTTTTTCTTCTTCCTTTTCGTTCGCGTCCTTTTCTCCGTATTAACAAGTTCTTCTCTTTACGAACGCAACACTACGTACGAGATTTTATACACTTTATCGGCGTTATTTCCTTTTTCCTCCCCCCCCCCCCTCTCTCTCTCGCTCTCTCGTTCTCTTTCTCTCTCTCGCTCACGCTCACGCTCTCTCTCTCTCTCTCTCTCTCACTCGCTCTCTGTGTGTGTGTCTCTCTCTCTCTCGTTATGTCCCTTCCTCTTTTCTCAATTGCACCCTTTTTCTCTCGGCGAACGTCCTCCCTCCCACCCTTCAGAACGATGAATAATCCTTTATGTGATCTTACTGTACTCGCAAAACTCTTCTCATACGATGCAACTCCTCCTCTTCCTCCTCCTCCTCCTCCTCCTCTCTTTTCCCCGAGGCCGACGCCGTCGTTTTACGCACCCACGAGTGTCAACGATATATGTAGCTCCCAGAGCTGTCACTTGCCCCCTTTAATGCAGACGACGGGGCTAAGATACACACACACACACACACATATATATATATATATATACACTAACACAGAGCATGCGATTACGCAGTGCTACCAACGTTACGTCATACATACGTTCGTCGCTTTTAACATCCTTTAGCTGGTTGGTTGGTTTAGATTGGTTGGTTGGTTGGTTGGTTGGTTGGTTGGTTGATTGCTTGGTTGCCTTTGTCGTCCAACGTATTACGACAATCGTTTACCGATCTTCGTATCTCTTCGGTAAACTTCGGAAATGCGTCATAATTTGATTTCATCTTTTATCGTTCAATCTTTTTTTAATCATAAACATTTCGTATTATTATTATTATTATTATTATTATTATTATTATTATTATTATTATTATTGTTATTATTATTAATTTTATTTAATTATCGAAATAAATTTTATTTACTTTTTTCTTTCCCCCAGCCGCCCCCTTTTTTCTTTTTTTTTCTTTTTTCTTTTCTTTTTTTTTTTTTTTTTTTTTTTCTTTGATAACATCTACGTTCACTATCTAACGCCTTCAATTAATATTTCCATAATATACCGTAGGGATTTTATTATCTCGAATTCTTCTCGAACGTTAATCATCCACATATTTTGTACTTTTCGTTTAAATTACGCGCTTTGATTGAATATAATATAGTCAAGGACGATGACCAATCGTCGTTAACGTCCTTCGCGCGTCATCGCATGTCGATGGAATCTCGAATTGTAAGCGTTGTCGTTGTCGTTGTCGTCCTCGTCGTCGTCGTCCTCGTTGTCCTCATCGTCGCGTTGGAAAATATCTTATGGTAATATACTCACGCGCAAAGTTCAGTTAAATACTCATGACGTTGATTTTATATGACGGTTAAGAGAGAGAGAGAGAGAGAGAGTGTGAGAGAGAGGGTCCGCGAGGGAAGGAAGAAAAAGCTTCAACGTCTCCCGTGAAAAAGTGATTGCGTTGTAATGTGTACTGCAAGAAATATAATTTGAGTGCAAGCGCTAACGCTCGAAGACTTCATTACATAGAATGGAACGCACGGAATATTTTAGTAGTATTTTATTTACGATTTTTCTACAACTTTTATTATTCACTTCTATTGCATTTACGTCGAATGTTTATTCCGAAAATTCATCTACGAACGAAAATGAAATTAGCCCACAAATTAGTTGGGTTTTTAGCAAACCTTCTGGTGACAGTTTGCATAGGATCAAAAGAAATCCTATACATAAACGAGAGAATAATTTGTTAAGCTTTATGTTACCAAAGTGTCAAATGAATTTAAAGGAGCTCTGCGAGGACGTAGATAAAAATGACGAGTTGGTGCTATTGGAATGCATTCAAACTTTGAAGGTAAATTATAATGAATTATCAAATATTATATTATTCTTTTTCTTCATTATTTATATTTTAATTTTATAGCCAAACGAAATGTCTATCATCGATACCGATTGTCAACAAGCAATTTGGGATTATGTAAAGAACATTACGAACAATCAAAATGTATATAGATTGGCTAAAAAGGCATGCGATCACAATGAGCTGGATAATTTAGAATGTTCTCCCGAAGGAAATGTACAGGGAGCTTATTTGTCTTGTTTAGTGGAAAAAAGGGAGAGCGTAAAAAATCCGCAATGTATCGCTTACATACAACGATTAGAATGGATAGCATTTAGTGATTTCAGAATAATTACACCATTTTTTTCTGATTGCGAAGAAGATATCAAAACGTTTAAATGTGGCAGAATACAACAGTATAGAGACATATCGCAGGGACAAATTTTAGCCTGTTTGCAAGAACATATCGAACAGTTACAGGTTAAATGTAAACGACGTATACTCCGTGTTTCCGAAATACAAGCTGATAATATTAAATTGGATCGTCAACTTTATTTAGCCTGTATACATGATCATATCAAATTTTGTCCAAGTATTAGGCCAGGAAGTGGTCAAGTATATAAATGTTTAATGCAACATAAAATGGAACATTCCATGACAACTCAGTGTCAAAATCAACTTATAAGAAGGGAAAAACTTATTGCCTCTGATTATAAGGTCAGCAAAGGTTTCGTTAAAGCATGTAAGGAAGATATTAAAACGAATCGTTGTAAAAAAGGGGTATCAGAGGATAAAGAAATAAGACTCGCACAAATATTGCTTTGTCTGGAATCGGCTATGAAAAATGGTTCCAAAATTGAAAGCTCTTGTCAAGCAGAAATGTTTGATCATAGAAAATTATTAATGGAAGATTATAGATTATCCCCTGAAATAGTTGATGGTTGTGCAAATGATATTACAATGTTTTGCAATAGCCTTGAAGTTGGTGGTGTCACGATTCATTGTTTAATGGAACATACCAGAACCCGAAAGAAGAAGTCTAAAGTTTCTAACAAATGTCAGAGAGCGGTAAATATATAACTGATAATATTATAATATTATAATAATATCCTTTTATATTATTATATATCATCTTTATTTGTATAGTTAGAACAATTAATTAAAGGGGCAGATGTCGGAGAAGATTGGAGAATAGATCCAATTTTAAGAGAAGAATGTCAGCTTCTTGTCAATCAAGCTTGCAAAGATGTATGATACCATTTATGATATATACAATGATTATTTTAAATAACTTTGATGATATATTTTAATTGTAAATCTTTTTATTTATCAGGTACGTGGCGGAGATGCCAGAGTTATATCTTGTTTGACAGATCAAATTGGAACTCCTAAAATGACAGAAGCCTGTGAAACGGCTTTAATTCAAATACAATATTTCGTAGCTAGAGATTACAAATTGGATCCTCAATTGTATAAAGCATGTAAATATGATGCTATACGTTTATGTCATGCGGCAAATGCATGGGCAAACGATGGAACACAAATGGATCCAGAAAGAGGTCCTCTTGTATTACCATGTTTATACAGACATGCCTATCAAAAAAATTTGACGGTAGGAATGTGATTTAATCGTTTCTATTTATTTAAATATATATATATATATTTTTTCTTTTTTGTTATTTGTATTTAAAATTTTCTCATTTTATAGTTAAAGGGTGAATGTTTAGAGGAAATAAGAAGAGTCATGAGACAAAGGGCGGTAAACGTAGATTTACAACCTGAAATTGAAGAAGTATGTTTAAGTGATTTGGCATCATTTTGTTATGATAAAACTGCAAAAGGAGAGGAAATTCTGTGTCTTCAAGATAATTTGGATAGGTATTGTATCATACCAAATGATATTTCTTAAAGTCATTGTGCGCTTCTATTGGTTATTAATAAAAGGAAAAAAAATATATTTATATTACAGTTTAACTAAAATATGCAAATTGGCAGTTGGAAATTTTACAGAAGTACAAGCTGAACGTATTGAATTGAATCCAATAATTTCGTCGGCATGTCAACACGTTATGGAACATCATTGTGAGGTATACACAAATTTTTTTTTTTTTATATGGACTAAAGATGCATTTTGAATACCAAAATATTAGTAAGTGATATTAAACGTTATAGCATATTTAATTGGTATCAAATATATATATATATATATTTATATATATGTATATCATAATTAAAATTTTTTAGGAAGTGCTTAAATATGGTAAAGACGAAGGTGATATGATGGAATGTTTAATAGAACATAAAAATGAGTTAGATGTTCGATCTGATTATAAATGTAAAGCAGCCGTAGAACATTTTCAATTAATATCATTGAAGAATTATCGATTTACGTACAAGTTTAAAGAAGCTTGTAGAACTTACGTTAAAAGATGGTGTCCCAAGTAATTAACATATTCTTGAGAATAATTATTAATACATAATGCATACATATATATACATATATATGCAATATAATTAATATAAATATTATTGTTGTAGATCGAAAACAAAAGCAGAAGTTATAGAATGTCTTAGCTCGATTGTACAAGGAGACATAATGAGAAATACTCAACATCGTATACCAAAAGAATGTAGACAACAATTGAAAGCTCAATTATATCAACAGCGAGAAAATATACAATTTGATCCTGCGTTACATGCATTGTGTGCACAAGATATAAAACAATATTGTTTTAAAGTGGAACCAGGCAATTCACAGGTAAAATTCATGATTCTTAAATATCTATTTAAAATATTTATCAAGTATATGATAATATTTCAATTGAATAAAATGAATATAATTCTTTTATATATAGGTATTAGAGTGTTTAGCTTTACACAAAACAAAATTGTCTGATTCATGTCATAAAAAATTATTTAACGTAAGAAAACAAGAGTTTCAAGATAGTTCGAGCGATTTTGCATTAATAAATACTTGCCGTGCAATGTTGAGACAATTTTGCCATGACGTAAATCGATCAGGAAGTCTTGATTGTTTAAAAAGATATAAAAATGATCCTACTTTCGATGATAATTGTAAAAGTATCGTAATTAAAAGAATGATTGAACAAAATACTGACTACAGATTTAACACTGCTTTACAAAGTGCATGTACCTATGATATTGACAGATATTGCAAAGGGGTAAAATATTTTTATTTTATACATATATTTTGTGTGTATATATATATATATATATGTATATATATATATATATATATATACACATTAGATTCTTATTTTTAAAATGTATAGGTATATATGTATTATTTTTTTTTTAATGTAAAATAGGTTTTAATACATGAACCAACTGATAAGGAACTTGAAGGAAAAGTTATAAAATGCTTAAAAATTAAATTTAGGGAAGCCAAACTTGTGCCAAAATGTGAGCAACAAATGACCATTATACTTAGAGAAGCTGCTCTAAATTATCACTTGAATCCATTATTAGCTACAATGTGTGCACACGAGGTAATCATATTGTGTTTATTTTTTTTTTTTTCTAAAGTTACGAATATTAAATTCGTAAATTATATTTGTTTAGATCGAAACAATATGTAACAATGAAAATGATCCTGGCACTGTAGAGGAATGTTTGAAAATGGAATTCAATGCTGGAAATAAAGTTATGAGAGAGGAATGTAGATTGGAGGTAGCAGATTTGATAGAACAAACGAGAGCAGATATTAACGTTGACCCTCTATTACAAAAAGCTTGTGCGGTAGATGTTAGCAAATATTGCAGTGATATTCCACAAGGAGCAGGAAGACGTAAGTGAGATAAAATGATAAGAGAAAAACAGAAGAATTATGGCAGTGATAGTTAATAAAAACTGTCAATTTTTCAGATATCATGTGTCTGCAAAATGTTTTACAAGATAAGAGAAAATCTTTGGAACCAGATTGTTATAAAATGTTGACAACAAGAATGGAAATGTTCAGAAATGCTGCTAAGGTATTATTATCATGTTATTATTTCTTAATATATTTAGATTAGAATTGAATAACTTTCGTTACTAATGATCAATCATTTTAATGTAATTCATTTTATTCGTAGTTAATTGCTCCTAATAGTATAGAAGAACTGTATTCATCTCTTAATCGATCTCCTCGAAAAAAATACTTTGTAATAATGGCACTTACCATTGTTGGACTTATTTTTATTGCTGGTATGCTATGTGGAAAAGTAACGAGGAAAACATGGATAATGAAAAATAAGTGAAAAATTAAAGTTGGGCTTATCCGTCCACAAAAAAAAAAAAAAAAAGGAAAGGATTTTCTCCTAATTATAAATTAACTTCAGAAATTAGAATGATCCGAATCTGAGTGATCATTTCGCGTTCTATTCTAAGTCTAAACTAATTGAGAAATTTTTTAAATGATCACGCAAATATAAATATTAATTTTTTATACTTTTCTTTATTACTTGTATAAATAAAAATAAATATTTATGCTCTTCTGCGATGTATATACAATGAAATTGATTTTATTATATGGCAAACTGATTAAAAAGGAAAAAAACTGAACTATTCATATGTATAAAAGAAAGTTATGAGAGTCAATGTTACAACGTGTTCACAAGGACATATAAGTATATATATTAGGATTTAATAAATATGCCGAAAATATTATAAAATGAACTCTTGGATGAAATTTATTTCTTATGTCTGTTTTTCTACATATATTTGTAATATATATAAAGATCCATGAAAGGAAGGAATAAAAAATATTTTTCTTTTATTTAAATTCAAACGTCTTACCTGAAAACAACTTATACATTTTTTTTTATTTTATCACATTGATAATGATATAACTATCAAGAGATTTAATAATATATTTTGATCATTGTAATAAATGTTATATTTACATGTAATATATTTAAAATTCAAGATAATCTATAGTAAATGTATGTAGATTGTATTAATTTCTTCTTTTTTTTTTGTTTTTGTTTTTCTTTTTTATTTTTTTTTCAATAAAATTTGATCGATGTTATATACATGTAACGAATTTAAATATTAAAAAAAAATCGTCAATAAAAAAAATTAATCGTCATTACGATAATTCGATCTTATCTAAAACCGATTAAATAGAATAAATATCAGATATTTCATATTATATTACATATATATTTAACCTCCTGTTATACATAAAAATAAAATTTAATTCTTAATTTGAAATTTCAACGAACGTAACGGATCCGACTAGATATTTTTTTTTTTCCGATTCAAAATATCGAAATTCAATTAACCTAAACTCGATGATAAATAATTTAATCTATAAAAAGTTAATAACAAAATGACATTGCCGGACATGCAAAAAATAACACGTACGAATGAAACAAAAAAAAAGAAAGAAAAAAGAAAATATTAAAAAGCATTAATACATGCATTCTTTCTCAGATAAGATGAATGCACCGCCATTGTGTAACTACGTGAATCAAAGGTGTTATTGAACGTTGTATTTGAGAAAATTTCAAAATACTACTAAGGACGATCGTAGCTTTAGCGAAGGCCGTGCAACACGTATAAGAGATCGGAATGAGATATATACATATATCCATATATCACGCAACATTCTCATATATATATATATATATACATATATATATGTGTATGTATGAATAACGATGTCGACTTGACTTTACGATTCTAATTCCAGTGATAGCTCTCGATTTTCGAGTTTGCACTACATGAGCCTGCGATCAAGGTTATCATTTGCATTATACGCCGCAAGGAGGCGCGGCGATCTGTGGTTCGTAAGACCGAAGCCAAAGGAGCGTAATACTGTGAGTGAGATAAAGAGAAAAAGAGTAAGAGAGAGAGAGAGAGAGTGAGTGATAGACAGTCTGTGAGGGTGGTGCGGAGAGGTGTAGAGGATAGGGACGATGAAAGCAGAGATACGACGGAACACGGTGAATACGCGAGTTCTCGTGGATACATTGAACGTTGAGTTAGCTGTGCCAAGTCCCCCCCATAGTTCGTCATAGTTTCTCTGTTTGCACTCTCTTATTTTTTTTTTTTTTTTTTCTACAATTTTGACGTACAAATTCGTTCGATCGACTTGCTCGAATGAAAGAGACTGTTATTAACGTCACGATCAAAGTAAGCCGCTTGCATTGCTCGTTCTTCTTAACTTCGATCATTGTTTTGTTAACGACTCGAAGACATTATCGGGACATATGCGAGAAGAATATAGTTGGTAAAGAGAGAGAGAGAGAGAGAGAGAGAGAGAGAGAGAGAGAGAGAGAGAGAGAGAGAGAGAGAGAAAGAAAGAGGGGGAAGAAGGAGAGAGAGAGAAAAAAAAGAGAAAGATATGCGAATGGAATCGCAATGAATCGTCACTGGGGAGATAGGTGTGGCGCGTAAAAAAAAGGCGCGTTGTAGAGTGGAGTGCGCGCGCGAGCGCGTGCCCGGTTTTTTCTCCGTTACAATAATAATAGTAGTGGTAGTAGTGGTGGTGGTGGTGGTGGTGATGGTAATGGTAGAGTAGTAAGAAGGTAAATGATGGGCGCGAGTGTATCTCTTCCGTACATATATGTTGGAAAATGAAGGTGGAACGTCAAAAGAGATTTTTAACGAGTATTTGGCACGATAGAAGATCGGTGTCAATTTGGCGGTGTACGAATTGAGAGTATTAGTATTATTATTATTATTATTATTATTATTATTATTATTATTATTATTATTATTATTATTATTATTATTATAAAGAAAAGTGTAGAAGAGGGGGATATAAAAAAAAAGGAGAGAGTTGGTGAAGAGAAAGACAGTTTTAAAAGTTCTTCGTCGTACGAAGAAGTGCAAGAAGTGTGTCTTGAGTTACGAAGGAAATAAAAAAGAGATAGATAGATAGATAGATAGGAAGAGAGAGAGAGAGAGCGAAGGAGAGAGAGAGCGAGCGAGAGAGAGAGACATCGCAGAAGAGGAAAAGAAAGAAAGAGAGAAGGAAGAGTGAGTGAACGAAAAAAGGGGGGGAGATCGGCGAAGCACCGCGTGCCATTGAAGCACAGCGTGTGCGTGCGTCCGCGCCTATGCGTCCAAGTCCGCCGTGCCGCGGTGATCTTCGCAGTGGCTGCGGCCGCAGTGGTGGTGGTGGTGGCGGCGTCTGCGACGACGGTGGAGGTGGTGGTGGTGACGGCGACGGCGACGGCGACGGCGGCGGCGGCGGCGGCGACGACGACGACGGTAAAAGAGAAGGAGTGGAGGTGCTGGCGACGACGGTGACGGGTCGGTTGTGGTGGAGGGGGAGGAGGTTTTTCGTCGTCGTCGTCGTCGTCGTCGTCGTCGTCGTCGGTAGTGGTGGTGATAGTAATAGTAATAATAATAGCAGTGGTGGTAGCAGTGTTGCTGCTGCTGCTGGTGGTGGTCTTGGTGGTAGTGGTGGTACTGGCGGCGGCGGCGGCGGCGGCGGCGGTAGTAGTAGTGGTGGTGGTAGTGGTGGTGGTGGTGGTGGTAGTGGTGGTGGTAGTAGGAGAACGGAATTGCCGTGTCGCGAGCGGCCAAACGAGTTAGCGCGTGTGCGTGCATCGTGCGCGCGTACGCTCTCCTTCGAGGCTTGCGCGCGAGCGCGCGAGCGCGTGTGTCGGTGGTATCCCCCCGCGCGCGCATCCAAGGAATTCACGATCGAGCAACACGGAGGGACTCCCAGCAAATGTTTAAATGGACGCATCGTCCATTATCACCCAAGTGTCGCGGGATGACGAGCTAGGCCAGTTTAATAACGAGAAAGGTAGGTAAACATAACGCGAACGGCTCCCAATCCTACGCCTTTTTCTGCATTTTTCTTCCAGATGCTGGATGGAATCTGCACCTGTTACGGGACTGCACCGCGCCTCTCCTCACCTTCTCTCTCCTAAACTTTGCCTCGGTCCTCTTGCCTCTCTCCACCCTCCCTCCTTTCCTTTCCCCTCTTCTCCTCCTACGTTTCCTCCATTACTCGTCTCTCACGGTTCGCCTTCCTTCTCCATTCTCTCTCTCTCTTTCTCTCTCTCTCTCTCTCTCTCTCTTTCTCTTTCTCTCTCGTTTCTACTCCTCCAACATCTCGCCCCGCGTTTTCGCCTGGCCTCGCCTCGTAGTCGAATCGTGTCTCTCTCTTTCTCTCTCTCTCTCTCTCTTTCTACTAGTTGCCCCTCTTTTCTTTCACTCCCCTTTACTCCTCAATCTCGACTCGTTTCTCTCTTCCGTGCCATATCTTACCTTGCCGCTGCTTTAATTTACGAACCTCCTAACATTCGTGTCACTAATGCTATCTTCGTCCTACTATGCGTGCGTTGACGAAGATGAAATTTTCTTTACACTTTCATATCGTACATTCTTAGGAACGTAAATGATACCAAAACACTGTTCCTATATTATGTTACGTTTTATGACAAAGGCCTTTTGCTTTTTCTATAAATATTGATGTTTTCTAGGCCAAAAAATATTTCCACATTTTGTCAATATTACATTTGTGTATGCTTCTAATTACAAGTTATTTCCAAACAAGTGAGTTACTATAACATAACAACAATAGATTATCTCTTCGTATTATTAGTGGGATAAAGGCATTATTATTATTATTTTTTTTTTCTTTTTTTTTTTTTGTTATCAAATATAGCCCAATTGCCACGCGAGAATGAAGCGGCCAGCAACGGTCCCACAGGTGGCAAGAAACCAAGAGGGCGTGGACTCTTGCGTTCTCTGCTTTGTTGTCTTGGTAGAGGACGAGGAAGTAGTTCAAAAAGTTCCAAAACAAGTTCGCTACAAGGAGATGGACGGGGTTCACCGCCACCAGGAACTGGGTCCCCACGGTATCTTTTACCGCCTGTCAGACATCAGGATATGCATAAAAAATGCATGGTGATCGATTTGGATGAGACACTTGTGCACAGTTCTTTCAAACCGATCAACAATGCGGATTTTGTTGTTCCTGTAGAAATTGATGGAACAGTACACCAAGTGTATGTCTTAAAGAGGCCTTATGTGGATGAATTTTTGCAGAGGATGGGAGAACTATACGAATGTGTATTGTTCACAGCAAGTTTAGCTAAGGTAGTTATCGATATCTTCATTTAAAATGATATAAATTTAAATCTATTCTAGGTTAATATGTTACCAAATAAATACATAATGTATTTCTGTGTTTTGTTTGCAGTATGCTGATCCTGTAGCCGATCTACTAGACAGATGGGGAGTATTTAGAGCAAGATTATTCAGAGAGTCGTGCGTCTTTCATAGAGGAAATTATGTTAAAGATTTAAATAAGCTGGGAAGAGATCTACAACAAATTATTATTGTCGATAATAGCCCTGCCAGCTATATCTTTCATCCTGATAATGCGGTGAATAATAATAATTTATACACTTTGAAAAATAAACTTGAGAATATACCGATCAAAAATGTTAATTGATAATTTGATTTTAGGTTCCAGTGACATCCTGGTTTGATGACATGACGGACTCAGAACTATTAGATTTAATTCCATTCTTTGAGAAACTTAGTAGCGTGGAGAACATTTATACAGTTTTGTGCAACAGCAATCATCCATATAATCAAGTATCAACTACGGTACAAAATAGTCCCAGTCCTGGATCAGGTTCGCTTGGTGCTTCCTAGCCCCACCTATGTTCTGGTCAAGTGACCAGTCTTGTTATCACTCGATGTGCATTAAGGAGGATCTTAATTGATTTGTCCAATGCTAATCACTTATTGTGCTGCGATGGATAATCGGGTATGCCCAGTTAGATATTTTATCTAAGGCCAAAAGTACCCGTGTTAGTCTGGGTGGATATTTCTGCGTATCGTTTCCCTGTTATAATAGTGCAACATTAACCGCACTCTGCTTTGTTGTTGCCTTCAAATTTTCTTCCTAATAAGCAGCAACGCGATGAAGAACTAACGTTAGAAAAAAGAGAGAGAGAGAAAGAGAGAGAGAGAGAGAGAAAGAGAGAGAGAGAGAGAGAAAGAGAGAGAGAGAGAGAGAAAGAGAGAGAGAGAGAGAGAGAGAGAGAAATAATAGGTACAGACAGAACGATGAAGAATGATTAAAAAAAATACGTGTACCGATTAACTTCTGTTACATTTCGATTCAAAGGGTTTTTTCGACGACATAAAGTTTTTTCGACGATGATCGAACGAAAAGAATAAATCGATAAGCGCTTCGGTATAATTAGTTAGATCAAAGTACGTGAATGCGTGCTTTATATCTTTGATACAGACGAAAGTGGGAAAAAAAAACAAACAAAAAAGAAAAAAAAAAAGATGAATGATATATTTCTTGTTGTATTAGAGCACGCAAATTTTGTGCTATTGCATGATATTTACTTGCTGAATACCTCAACGGATTAATCTTAAAAGTCCTGAACTAAATCCAGAATATAAATCGCACAGAGTCATACAAGAAATTATCAATTGATAAGTATGAGTCGTTTGATGGGTCGTTCGGTGTTCAACATTTTTTTCATCATTTTATTTGGACCAATTTGTTTACTGATTTGCATTTCATTTGCTGGCATTACAAATATGTACATCGCATCATAACTTCGAGTTCGTATAGTAATTTTTTTTTTAGCATTTTCCCCATAGGATCAATGATATATATATGTATATATATATAATATTACGATCGTTACTCGACGTAATATTGAATATTAAAAAACAAAAACAAAAAAAATAAAAAAAAAAGCACGAAAAAAAAATATCAAAAGGCTGGCAACTTAAAATTATGATAATACATTAAATGTTAAATTCGTTTAATCATCCCTAACAGATATCATCCTTCGTATTTTAAACAATGAATTTTATTATAAATATTTTAGATTATATTATTATTATTTTCATGATTTGCCAGTACGATTGACTGTTTTTTTTTTCTTTTTTCTTTTTTTCTTTTTTTCTTTTTTCTTTAAGGAGAATGTGTGCCAGTTAGTGAGTCAACTAATTTAATTACAAGAAAGTGATATAACATTTTAAAGAGACCGAGCCAAAATGCATATCATTCTCTCCCTCCAAGCGCAATCGTACGGATAATAAAAAAAAAAAAAAATCTTACGTTAAATGAACAATTATAATAACATGGTTAATGAATTAGATTTATATAGATAATATAGAGCCCTTGTGAAGGGTAGGTGGTAGACAACACGATACGTGTAAGTATGTAGTTGTATTCACACTAACAGTGATGATTGATTTTGCACGCTTTATCGTATATACATATTATGTAATGTACAGATTGCGCATTACGTTGATATAATCAACTTTATTATCATTGCTTATAATTTTTATCCTCGTTATTATTATGATTTTATAATGTTATTATTTTTTTCTCCTCTCATTATTTTCATCTCTCCATCTTCTCATAGTTGTTACATTAATGTTATTATTATCACCATTTTGTGATTACTTTTATTAATACTATCATCTACTTCATCCTTTATGTGACTGGTCCACATTTTAAAGTATTATATACACACACACACATACACACAAACAATATATATATATATATATATACACATATATCTATATATATATATATATATATATATATATATATATATTGTTTGTAATGTTCTATATTTGTTACCGTCGCAGAATGTTTTTTGATCGATCAGTTTTTATTTTAATCGCTTATAAACTGATAATTCGATTATTATCGAAAAGAAAAAATACAAAAAGAAAAAAAAAAAAAAATAAAAAGAAAAGAAAAGAAAAGATAAAAAAAATCAATCAAACGAGTACAGCTTAAACACGATAAATTTGTTTTTATTGATTTATTGCATTTTTCATTAAAAAAAAAAAAAAAAAAAAAAAAAAAGAAAAAAAAAGAAAGAAAAAAAAAGAAAAAATAAATTGTATATTCCATATATTTATATATGCACTGTATGTAATATCTCTCTGTAAACTCAATAATATTAACTTTTTGTTAAAAATTATTAGAAATACGCATTGATATCTCAAAACGGGTAAACATAAGATTAAATGAATATTTTAATAAATAATATGGTGATATATGTATATTTTTTTTGTT